ACAAATAAACTCGTCTTAGTTAGCCATCATTTTTTGGAAATGTTATTTTATTCATCTTAGACACGAAGGACTCTGCACATATGGTTTGCACACATTATTTGGTGACTTTGTACATTCTGAGACGAGTGTATGTTGGTGTCGACATCTCTGCTAGATCAGGTCTGTCAACATATCTATCACACAGAATACACAGCATGACATATAATCAGTACGTACCTCTTTGTTCCACAGCTTCATTAGATTGGCTGCTCAGCAACACAAGAACTTAACACTCCGTTTGTGTAGATAAAGACAATGTGTGATAAGATACTGGTGATTCACTCTTGAATAAACATAAATAAAAATGCTCGAATCACTCAGATCAGCTTTCAGTTTGTTCTGAGCTTTTTCTAAGATTACTTTTAAGCTACTTTTACAAACAGACAAATGCACACCTGTGTTCACAAACACAAAAAGCTCACATCAGTAAAGAAACCGGCAATGAGTTTGAGTTACCCGTTAGCTAAACAGTACCTCAGTGAGTGACTTGTGTGGTGTGTCGTGTGTGTGTGTGTGTGTTTCTGTTTGAAAGGGGCGTGTTTCTGCTATTCATAGTTGTGAGAACTTCAGAGGTCTATTAGAGGTCAGTCTGAGTCCTTCTAATAGCAACTGCAGCAGCACAGGGCCTTTCAAATATCCACTGTGGCCACGGTCTCGACCTTTCTTCAGACACACGCTGTGAGCAGTGAGTAAAGAGATTGATTTTTATTTCTGCCTGTCAATAATCAGTGCTTAGATTTGTGAAAATGTACTTAGCTGCACTTAAGGTTGTCCTTGAGGTGATTTGAAAGAGATGTTATTGCTGCTTCTCTTTTTTATGGTGTTTAAAAATACAGTTTAATCTAACGTTTATGATTTCGGAACCTTTTTTTTTCCTTCCGAGAGGATAAACGGATCCGAACACTTGTAATGAATGTAGCCTTTACTTTGTGGTTTGTTCTTCAATATAAAAATTCTCATCTCAGCTCAGTTTACAGTAGTTATTTGTCATTTAACATGTGTATATATAAATTTAATTGAATCCACAATTATAAGTCAATGACAGTGTCACTGCAGAACTTTGTGCCAGTTGGCAGTGGTTCCATTTGTCACAGGTTTGTTGATAATAATAGAAGTAGGTGAAAAGTCAATTGTTGTTGCTGCTCGCTCATTTACCCCACAGAGGTCAAAAGAGTTAAACAAAGTTCATGTGCTTCCAGCCGCCCAGGCTGATTTAAAAAAAAAAAAAAAAATGTGAGCTGCACAGAAGGCAGCGTGAAAAGTTGTAGCTCTAAATGATTATTTAATGTGCTGCTTCCATATTAACTCGTAATAATTAAAAAAATTCTAGTTGACTATTTTAGTGAATTTAAATAGCTTTTTCCTTCTTCGGGCTTCTCTTATTTCATTTAACATGTCATTAAAAATCAGGCATTCAGCCTACTTGTGACTCACTTTTATTGTTGTATGAATATTTTATTAGAATAGAGCCATATGTCCATGAGAGTGAAGAGCGAGCCCAGCCCAGTGAGCTCATTTCTAAACCATCCAAAGCAGAAAGCTTCTCTTCCTTTTGTTCAGCATCTGCGGTCGCCCATCTTGTTATATTTCCACTGAGGTTTGTGATCAGGAAATGTGTCAGGAGTCATTTTTATTTCCCATGTCCTTGTTGTCAAATGCACAGCTGTTGAATGGGATAGCACATCCTCTTCTTTTTCTTCTATTAACAACATCAGTTAAAAAAAAAAAAATTCACCTGCACAATTTAAAAGACAAAGATAACAAATAACACAGTGCAGCAGGGGATAAAGTTGACCTTGAAGCTGCCATCTATTTCATATATGAAAAAATATCATTGTTATGGAAAAACACAACATTTGCACACAATAAATGATCTGACTACATAAAATGAATGTCAGATTACTGAAATGTTTTCAAATGAAGTAGAAGAACTGTGGAAAATTACCTCTGCAAGGGAGGAAGTTAGGAAATAAAGCTGAGTAATCATGTACCTGTGAGGTGACATTAAAGTGAGTCTGCTTAGGGAGATTTCCTTTGCTAGAATATAACTTATAAATAAAGGCACATACTAGATGGATATTGACGTCATAAATAGCAGAAATCTTAAGCTTCCAAATAAAGGAACAGATGCGATATATGACTCTGAACACGATGCAGTCCTAACAAAACACTTCTGTAAGAGTTCTGCAGAGAGCAGCAGGAAACGTACTCGCTCAAACTACATTACAAAAGGAAAGATGGGGATAAATGAAACTATTAATCATTAAGGAAACTGGTTTTAAGTGCAAGATGGCTAACCCTCCTCATTGTATCAGTGGATTTGTTGATTTTTCTGCTAACCCAGCCAGTATGCTTTTTCAAGCGCTTATCAACCATAATTCCCAGGAGCTGATATTTGCGGCATTTCAACAAACGTGATTATAATTTTTGATTATTTTTTATTTATTTATAAAAAAATATATATATATATATATATATATATATATATATATATATATATATATATATATATATATATAAATAAAAAAAAAAAACACCCAGCACGCCCCTGCGGGCGGTTTATCCTTCAAGCTCGGGTCCTCTACCAGAGGCCTGGGAGCTTGAGGGTCCTGCGCAGTATCTTAGCTGTTCCCAGGACTGCGCTCTTCTGGACAGAGATCTCCGATGTTGTTCCCGGGATCTGCTGGAGCCACTCGCCTAGCTTGGGAGTCACCGCACCTAGTGCTCCGATTACCACGGGGACCACCGTTACCTTCACCCTCCACATCCTCTCGAGCTCTTCTCTGAGCCCTTGGTATTTCTCCAGCTTCTCGTGTTCCTTCTTCCTGATATTGCTGTCATTCGGAACCGCTACATCGATCACTATGGCCGTCTTCTTCTGTTTGTCTACCACCACTATGTCCGGTTGGTTAGCCACCACCATTTTGTCCGTCTGTATCTGGAAGTCCCACAGGATCTTAGCTCGGTCATTCTCCACCACCCTTGGGGGCATCTCCCATTTTGACCTCGGGACTTCCAGGTTATACTCGGCACAGATGTTCCTGTACACTATGCCGGCCACTTGGTTATGGCGTTCCATGTATGCTTTGCCTGCTAGCATCTTGCACCCTGCTGTTATGTGCTGGATTGTCTCTGGGGCATCTTTACACAGCCTGCACCTGGGGTCTTGCCTGGTGTGATAGACCCCAGCCTCTATGGATCTTGTGCTCAGAGCTTGTTCTTGTGCTGCCATGATTAGTGCCTCTGTGCTGTCTTTCAGTCCAGCTTTGTCCAGCCACTGGTAGGATTTCTGGATATCAGCCACCTCCTCTATCTGCCGGTGGTACATACCGTGCAGGGGCCTGTCCTTCCATGATGGTTCCTCGTCTCCCTCCTCTTTCTTGGGTTTCTGCTGCCTGAGGTATTCACTGAGCACTCGGTCAGTTGGGGCCATCTTCCTAATGTATTCTTGGATGTTCGTTGTCTCATCCTGGACTGTGGTGCTGACACTCACCAGTCCCCGGCCCCCTTCCTTCTGCTTAGCGTACAGCCTCAGGGTGCTGGATTTGGGGTGAAACCCTCCATGCATGGTAAGGAGCTTTCTTGTCTTTATGTCAGTGGCTTCTATCTCCTCCTTTGGCCAGCCTATTACCCCAGCAGGGTACCTGATCACGGGCAGGGCGTACGTGTTGATGGCCCGGATCTTGTTCTTACCATTCAGCTGACTCCTCAGGACTTGCCTGACCCTCTGCAGGTACTTGGTGGTTGCAGCTTTTCTAGCGGCCTCTTCATGGTTCCCATTCGCCTGTGGGATCCCCAAGTACTTGTAACTGTCCTCTATGTCTGCAATGTTGCCTTCTGGTAGTTCAATCCCCTCAGTTCTGACTACCTTCCCTCTCTTTGTTTTATTTTTATATATATATATATATATATATATATATATATATATATATATAAAAAAAAAAATCTTGATGTTTTAAACACAAACGTAATTACGTATTTTCATTTTCCAGTCTTCAGTATTCACATTCACTGAAAGAAATATTCACATTTACATCCAATGTTTGACTCATTGTAAGTCTGGTACTCAGATTTTTAAACCACAGAAGAAGAAAAAAAAAACAGTTGCAGTGAAGAGTTGGTTCATTACTGAATCACTGAGCTGTGCTGCTGCTCCATCTCTGCGGTGAGCCTCGGATGATTCACTCTTAGTTTATCCTTGAAGCTTTTATTTTGCGCAGTACGTTTTTGTGTTAACGCGTCAGTTTGCCAGAAATAGGTGTTTGTGTCAGAGAAAAGTGAAAGCTGTAGACGTGATATAGTCCTTTTAAAAACATTTGGCTTTTGAGATCGTGTTACAGCAGTTTTACAGCAAATATTAATGTCAAACCTGAGATCACTAGGCTGGGTCGGGATTCATGTGTAGCTAACAGAAGGTTTATAGGGTAAATCATGCCTGTTTTTTAAGCTGATGCTTTAGTTTTATAGAGTACATTTCTGTATGTGTTCCTGTTGTAATGTGAAGGTCAGAATGTATTATTAAAACAACGGTTTAGCCTGGTTTGTTTGATTCCTTATAGCCTCAGAAAAGAGTCTGGCCCTTTAAACATGTTGCATGATGAGAAATGATAAATATTACCCTGGAGCCTACAGGTGGATGGCAGGGTGGTGTAGGTTGGAAAAGCAGCAGCACTAACGTGTCTGAGGGACAGATGGCAGATTTCTTTACAGCTAAAACAAACCACAAAACCAGGGCCTGTGTTTCGAACATGATGTGAGAAAAGTGAGGCCATGAAACTGTTCAGTTTGAGTTGCCAGCATCAAGTAGCTTCAGGCTCTTTACAGAATTTCACTAAATGGAAAAAGTTCCTATTACAGTCATATAATGTGCTAAATATTTCACTTCTCCACACAAGTCTCTGAGCTAAATTAAAACTAAAACTTGAGACCAATGACATTTATTGTTTTCTGTTTTTCTGCAGGTTCACTGCAAAACGACCATGCAGGCTCAGGAGGTCCTGAGACAGCTGCGGATTCCCGAGCTGGATGACTTTCGGCAGTACGTCCGAGGCTTTCCCACCAACGCCCTCATGGGTATGGGTGCCTTCGCGGCCATCACCACCTACTGGTTTGCCACCCGTCCAAAAGCCCTCAAACCACCCTGTGATCTTGGACTGCAGTCAGTGGAGTTACCAGTGAGTGATCTCTTTTTTTTTTTTTTTTTTTTCTCCAGTTAAACTCTCTGGATTTAGGTTTCGGTTTTACGGTCATATTTGTTAGTGGAATTTCCGAGGTTTGATCCCTTTTACAGTGACGCTGGGCAAAAAGCACTGAACAGTTGACTTCATTCACTGGAAATGTTAATGGATTTTCTCCACAAACTCAATCACAGCTGGCGTTAGTGTCAGTTTTAGGAGTTACAAGCCATGACTTCATCACTTCCTGTTACATTAAAAGTACTAAAATGTTTTTCACACAGTCACTGTTGGTGCTGCTGATGAACGGGGCCTCATTGAATGTTGTTTTATTATTTCAGGGTGCACAATGTTGTCACTTGTAGCCCAGTCTTTGCATTGGAGCTCATGAGTAGATAAACGTGTTAAGGGATCATGGCGAGTTTGCTAATTATTAGTTAATGAACTCTGTTTCCTTGCAGGGTGGTGAGCGTGCGAGAAGATCGGTGTTGTGCGAAGACGGCTCTTACCTGACACACTACTACGACGATGCACGCACGTTATACGAGGTGTTTCTACGAGGGCTCAGAGTATCAAGTCAGTGTCTCTCCTGTACTTGCTAAATGTGAGAAATCCCCAAAGACGCTGATGTTGGATAAACGTTTCTTTCTTTTGCAGATAATGGACCTTGTCTAGGATCGAGGAAACCAAACCAGCCATATGAATGGCAGACTTATAAAGAGGTTAGATGGGCACCACGGACATGCCAGTGTGGGATTTTACAACCATCAAAGTGGGAATTTATTTTAAAAACTGGATTTAATTGTATTTTTTGCACAGGTAATAGATAGAGGAGAATGCATCGGCTCCGCCCTCCTTCACAGAGGACACTCTCACACAGGAGACAAATTCATCGGCATCTTCTCTCAGAACAGACCAGAGGTAAAACTTACATCATCCTCTCATGTTATCCTACGGTGTTTCTGTTATCACTAACCACAAGCTAACTGCATTCCTGCGTTACAAGGGCAGATTAAAAGGGTAAATTTATACTGCGGACACTCCTCTTTAACTGAGGAGATATTTGTTTGGTAATTTCATAGTAGATCAGCAGTTTCTGAAATACTGAGATCAGCCCATCTGGTACTAACAACCATTTCATGCTCAGAGTCATGATGCTCATGTTGAACTTGAGTAGGTCATCTTGACCATGTCTGTAGACATAAAAGCAGGTTGCTACCCTGTAATTTGCTGATTTACATTAATGAGCAGCTGAACAGGTGATCCTTGCAAAGTGTCTGGTTTAGTGTAGACACACTGCACACTTCTGATGGGAGACCTGGTAGAAAGAGTTAGGTAATGACTAATTCATCCATCTGACATAAATACTGTTTGAAGCTGTTATATTGTTAGTCAAAAGGTGTATCAGATATTGAACTCTTTCCAAATTTTCCATTAAGATCTCTGTGACATAAATGATTCTTGTAGCATTACCAAGTTGTTTATTGTTCTTTTTCCTTTTTTTCCACGGCTGAACTCAAATGAATGATACTGTTTCTGTGCAGTGGACCATTACAGAGCTCGCCTGTTACACGTACTCCTTGGTGGCTGTCCCGCTGTATGACACACTCGGCGCTGAAGCCATTGACTACATTATTGATAGAGGTATAAAAAAGGGCACCATCTCACACTAACCACATATCGCCTGCAGCACTGTCAGAGTGCTTTATAAATCAAGGGCCGTGACGATGGAAGATTAAATTAATGGTTCGCTTGGCGCCGTCTGTTTCACAGCCGACATCTCAACGGTGATCTGTGATGTCCCTGAAAAGGCCCGGATGATTCTGGATTGTGTCAGCGGAAAAGCACGAGTGGTGAAGATGATTATTCTCATCGAGGCGTTTGACAGCGACCTGGTGACCCGCGCAAAGGAGAACGGCATCGAGATCCTGAGTTTAAAGGAGCTGGAGGTGAGAATAAGAATCGGATTTGTCATTTTTGAGTTTCACAAATGTTCATTCTTGATGTGCAGAGCAAATTGTGTCATCTTCTGTGTTATGTCTGCACTATAGAGAGTAGTCCCCAGAAAGTTGATTCTGTTCATCTTGACGTAGATTGTCACTGGGAGGAACGTTTCGTCACTCATCCAAGTGACTTCTTCAGTCCCAGCTGACTGCAGGTTTCTTCAACCTTATGAACAGTACATAATGGCATAATGCTCTTTGATTAATTCTTATGACCATTTTCATATTATTGATCAAGAAACTGACCTCACAGCCGATTCTTCAACAGTGGTGCTATTTTCAGTCATTATGCAAATATACTGTTTATAAGGTTGAAGAAACCTGCAGTCAGCTGAGACTGAGTAATGCCTTACCGGGATGATTAAGCATGCATCAAGACACTGTTGAATAGAACTGTAATTTTGTTGCATGCATGTAAAAATGACTGTGAAGGCGACTCTGGTTCGAATATTTCAGCCTGTTTCTGTTTGTGTTTTTGAAACCATCCAGCCGTGTTCGAGCTAAGTAGAAATCAGACCCTTATCAGGACTTCCTGCAGATGTACTAATTTTTGTACATTTTTGTTTCCAGGCCTTGGGTAAAGCTAACCTCAAGCAACCAGTGGTGAGTAGGAACAGCACGCCATCTTTATCTGATCTACTGACAACATGAGTTTTTTTTAAAGGCTCTTCTTTTAGACTAAATTACTCCAGTGAGAGTCATTGGTGAAACTTCGATGAATTTGCTTGATCAACTGGTGTCCATCTTAAAAAAAAAAAGTATTTTAAATGTAATAGACGTATCAGTGTTGCTCTGTGATTACAGCCTCCCAAACCAAATGACCAGGCTCTTATCTGCTTTACCTCTGGAACAACAGGTGAGTACGGGGTTGTTATTGCGTTAACATTTCAGAAATGTTATGTTTTTATGTTATATATCATCATAATTGTTTTTTATTGTGTTTGTTTTGCTTAAACTTTACTTTCAGGATACCCAAAAGGTGCAATGATTTCTCATGAAAACGTAGTCTGCAACACTGGCGCTTTCATTAAATTGACCAAGGTAAACAAACCCACCCACCGGCACTCTAATATTTTCAATTGGTTGATCTCACTGAAACCTTTCCAAACAATAATAACACAGAGGCTCTGGGTCGCCTTCAGGTTGTCATCAGACTGTAAGAAATCATGTATCCTCTTTTTTTTCATGTACTCCTTTAAAGATGCGATAAATGAACATCAAAGATGAGAAAGAAAGGCAACACCTGATTTTTTTAAAAAAAAAAAAAAGAAGCATTAAGTCTCAGTTCTTAATTAAGTTAAATGGCGTTTTGAAGTACACCACCTGTTGTATAACGAATGTAAAGGTAGATTATAGAAAAACAAACCATGTCATTGAATTTATTTGCTAAATGTAATAAAAAAGCCAAAATCTTCATCCATCTTTGTAGAAGCTGATTCGGAACAGTTCAATCAAACATTTTCTTTTGTTCTCATACGTTTTTTTTTTACGTCAGATGGAAAAAAACATGAAGCTGACTCATGGCTCTAATATCCCTGTCTGGCCCCTGTTGCCTCTCCTTGATTCCTCTTTGTATTTTCCTCTGTCCGTCTGTCTTGCTCCCTCGTCTGTCCCGTCCTGTGTGGTCTCGTGCGTCGTCTAGGAAACACTGAAGCCCACAAGTAAAGATGTGGCCATCTCCTTCCTGCCTTTGGCCCATATGTTTGAGCGTGTAGTGGAGGTAAAGTACAGAGTGCTTCACCTGCATGTGTTTTGTGTGTTCCTCTGCAGGTAAACTGCATGCTGAACGCCAATGACATTCACGTATCCTATCTCCCTCTAGCTCACATGTTTGAGAGGGTTGTGGAGGTATGTTGCTTACCTTAAGATGCACAATGAATTTATCAGTGGAGGTAATATTTAGGAGTCAGCAGAGAAGGACTGCTAGTATAATGTTTGTGAGACATGAGATGTGAGACCCCTTAATGCCTAGCGTATAGTATTTGATACATGTGTTTTTGAGTTTTATCAGCAGTGTGAATTATACAATTAAAGGTTTAAAATTTGTGCACTCCTTCATGTTTTCCACAGTTGTCCAGTAGGTCAGATTAGAGTCTTTGGCAGACCGATTCTGGCCCTTGTGCCTTACATGTGACTCCCCCGCCTTAGTGTGTTTAGATGCAGCATTAGTGCCCTCGTGTGGTCAAAAATATCATTTTTAATTTGTCAAAGTTGGAATGAGCAGCATCTTTTCCCCTCCATCAGTATGTCGTACTCGTCCACGGGGCTCGAATCGGCTACTTCCAAGGGGACATTCGACTCTTGATGGATGATCTGAAAACACTCCAGCCAACAGTTTTCCCTGTTGTCCCCCGCCTCCTCAACCGCATGTTTGACAAGGTCAGTTTATGCTGTTTATGTGCTTTTGTGGTCAGAAGTGCCGTTTCTCTGGTCTGCTGCTTTGCACGAAACACGATTTGGATATTTCTCATTGCTCTGCAGGTTTTTGGTCAAGCCAACACGCCACTGAAAAGATGGCTGCTTGATTTTGCCTTCAGAAGGAAAGAGGCGGAGCTTAAAAATGGAGTGGTCCGAAAAGACAGCATGTGGGACACACTCATCTTCAAGAAAGTGCAGGTAAACACGAAACACTTTAAAGCACTTGGAGATGTTACGTGCCACCTAACAATCTTTCAAAGAGCACGTACACTAAAGAGGAACAAAGACACAAAATGGATAAACACGCCCACACATTTGACCTTTTCGTCAAAATTATTTTGTTAAATGAATCTGCAGCGGTTTTTGTGTTGCATAATAAATTAGTTTTGAGTTGACATTTTGGAGCTTTCATGTTTGTTTTGCACTGTAGGCGAGCCTCGGCGGCCGTGTGAGACTCATGATTACAGGAGCAGCCCCGGTATCCCCGACCATCCTGACTTTCCTGAGAGCTGCTCTCGGCTGTCAGGTGAGCCACATTCACAGTCATCTCATCTGTAATTTTTTTTAATACTTTGTTTATGAATATCATTAATAACGTAAACGTTTTCCAGTTTTATGAAGGTTACGGTCAGACTGAATGCACAGCTGGCTGTACCATGTCGATGCCTGGGGACTGGTCAGCAGGTAAAATATAAGACTTTCACTAAATTTTGCAATTTGTAGACACAGTGATGCTTGTAAGAATGAAACGACACTATGACTGCTCTGTCATCAGGTCACGTTGGGCCTCCTCTGCCCTGCAATGCTGTTAAACTGGTGGATGTGGCAGAAATGAATTATCTGGCAGCCAATGGAGAGGGAGAGGTGAGGAATAGGATTCGTCGAATGCATACGGCCATTACGGAGACTTGCAGTCAGTTTTCACACAACCATACATCCCTGTAGAAAAAAGTACTGCTTACTGCTTCTATAGGAATTAAGAGCAGCCAGGTGGTGATATACAACTGATCATCAGAAGGGTGTGAGCACCTCTGTGACACACAGCATAATTAAAAAAAAAAAAAAAAAAGACTGAACAGGCTCGGCTTGTTTTAGAAGGGTTGCCAAGACCAGGCAGCTTCTCCTTTCCTTTAAAAAGAACATGTCGGGTTTGCAAAGTTGCATCTGAACAAGTCGTGAGATCAAACTGTTTGCTCACAATGCACAGCTTCATGTTTGGGGCAAAGCCACACACAGCATATCAGCACAAACACTTCATACCAGGTGTCAGCACGGTGGTGGAGGAGTGATGACTTGCACTTGTTTTGCTAAAGTCAAATGTGAGCCCATCTGTCTGACAGCTGAAGCTCGTCTTTTTTTCTTTGTACATGGCTGTGAGCAGATTTCTAGAGGCCAAAACTGAATTTATTGTTTTAATAACATGAACTTTGTGTAACAGGATCCAGAATTTTTTTTTTTTTTTTTTTAAAAGAAAAAGAAGCAAAAACGCGACACAGAATTTAAATGCAAAACTATTATAAACATATTAAAGAACCACAATATGTATTTAAGTGACACATTTCTTCTATAAAACTAACATGGAAATTGTATTATTTTGAAACTAGCCTCAGTGTCCTGAGGTTTACATTATCCTCATACATTTTTAATTCAATATTCTACCACATAATTAGAAGCTTGCCTTAGATACAACAAAAGGAAACCCTTTAAAGGAGAGGCTGTCCTTTAACATTTGAAATCAATGTTGGCTTCAAACGGGGACGTGAGCGAGAAACTATTTGTAAAAACAAAATGTAGCGGGGTTGATATAAAAACAAGAACAACAAACCAAACAGCTTCTTATTTATAATCTCGGTTGTTGTAGGTGTGCGTCAAAGGACCAAATGTATTCCAGGGATACCTGAAAGATCCTGACAGAACAGCTGAGGCTATTGATAAGGATGGATGGCTGCACACTGGTGACATTGGGAAATGGCTTCCTGTGAGTAAAACGGGCTGAGTGGTGATGCGAATGGTGATGATCACTGTGCATAAACCTAAACTTACATTGCTCTTGTGGTTCCCTGCAGAATGGCACTCTGAAGGTTATTGACAGAAAGAAACACATTTTTAAGCTGGCACAGGGAGAGTACATCGCCCCGGAGAAAATTGAAACCATCTATGTTCGCAGCGACCCCGTGGCCCAGGTGTTTGTTCATGGTGACAGCTTACAGGTAAGGCTTAAATCTCAGACTTTTGTTTTTTTTTTTTTGTTTTTTTTTTAAATCTACACAAATAGTCTGTCTGAAGCATTTGATTCTCATCTGGTCCATGTTGTGTTTTAAAGGCATGCCTGGTGGGGATAGTGGTGCCCGATCCTGACTTCTTACCTATTTGGGCCAAGAAAAAAGGGTTTGAAGGCTCTTACTCTGAGCTGTGTGACAACAAGGTCCGATTTATTACTATCAGCAATCTGAACGTGGACTCTCACTCTGTATGCCTGTGTAACATCTTCTGACCTTTTTTTTTGCTTTTGCTTTTAGGATGTGAAGAAGGCAATTCTGGAGGACATCTTGAATTTGGGCAAAGAAACGGGACTCAAGTCTTTTGAACAGGTGACTGGTCCTGTCTAACTTCAAGCACAGCCAGTGCTTCCCACAAACAGACTTCATTTGAACTGAATGTCCACTGAAGTAAATTTGGAAAATAATTTTAGTTTTTCCACTCAAGGAAAATATTGCCAGGAAATTAATGGTGCACAATCACTTTGGTTTTATTTTGAAAGATCCAAACATGTCACTGTGACTGTGCTAATCTCTCATCTTTTTTACATGAAAAAGCACGAGTGAGTCTCTTTCTGGTTTCAGTGCAAGATTTACACTTCAGAGACCCAGAATTTTGCAATATATGCATCCTTAAAAATTATTTGCAGCAATACTTAAGTCAATGTTTGCTCTGTCATTTATCTTTTTTCCCCTCTGCAGGTGAGGGACATTGTGTTACATCCCGAGATGTTCTCTATCCAGAACGGTCTGCTGACTCCAACCCTGAAAGCCAAGAGGACTGAGCTTCGGAGCCACTTCAGAGAACAGATCGATGAACTCTATGCCAAAATTAAGATGTAAGCCAAGTTCAAGGAGTATTATAGGGAAGCCATTCAGAGACAGCCAGAACCAAACAGTGTGCTGAGGGAATCCGTCTCACTTTCTCTGCAAGTGACAATCTTAACAGTTATATGGGGGAAAAGCTTTCAGGATAATTGGATAATGAATTTTAAAAGTGCATTTTATCCCCACTTTGATCAATAATCACACAGATCCATTATCCCAGCTAACACTGGCTAACTGGCAAAGAGATCCACAGAACCCGCACCAAGTTTCTTGTGTAGTTTATCCAAGAATAAGGGTTAAAATGGCACAGAGGAAGTTTGACTTCTGCTTTTATGTATGACAACTTCACGGTCAGAAAGGTGAATCCTGAAAACATTTCTGCTAGTTTTATTCGTGAAAGCAACAAGCGAAAATCTTTGAAAATACTTCTACAACAGTGACAGATATTAACTATTTATATGCCATGACATTTCATGCTTTGGTTATCTATTTAAGGGGATATTTAATATCATCTTTTTGTAAATAGTGTATCTGCTGGAAAATTTGTGTACAGGGTACCATGCCAGATACTCTGTAGCTTCCCTGCATTCCCATATTTCTCAGTGCTGCCGGCTGAAGGACTTTGATGAGGTTTTTGGTTAACAGCCTACTGAAAATCATGTTGGTTCACAGATTTTGGGCTTTTGTTTTTGGTGTTATTTTTAAATGTTGCATGTAACATATTCACTGTTGCTTTCTAAATGCCTGACATTGCATTGCCAAAAGCTGAGGAATGAAGCTGCACAACCATCGTTTGTATATTCTGCAAGTATTTGGGGTAAAAATAGTAACAGTGATTTTTATCGTTGATCAAACAGTTTCCATGTCCTTTGCAAAATCAGCAGTCTTCATTTCAGCCATTTGAAAAAAAATTTGTTTGTTTTTTGTGAATGCCGGTTTTCTGACTGATGAATGATCGTGATGTACATCCAATCGTGTCAAAGACCTCTTAACAGCACAAGCTGTACTGTTTAGTTGGTTTTTTTTAATGACTTGTGATCTCAAAAAGGGAGAACGGTCCAGTTTTGTGCTATAATGGAAAGTGTATCTGTCAAATGTACCAAATAAACACAACATGGTCGTGCAGTTGTTAGCACTATCACCTCATAGCAAAAAGGTCCTCCATGCTGCCATTCGGTGTGGTATTTGTGTGTGTTCTGTCCAGGTACTTCCAGGGAGTGTTTATAACATTAGCAGGAGCAGTGAAGGCAGCCTGGAGATGGTGGAGAAGATGACCTCAAACAGAAACTTGGTCAAAGATTTAATCTAGTGTGGTCTGCGGTGCTGATCTGATCACATACCCAAACCATCTCAGCTGGCTCCTTTGAATGCAGCAGAGCAGCAGCTGTGCTATGTTACAGTTCATGTTCAGTTTAAACTTGAGCAGGCAGTCAAGGATCTCCACTTGAGCACAAACACCTGCAGCTATGTACAAACCAGGGGTGTCTCCACGGCACATGTAATAAAGTATTTATTACATGTTTTCGCAACGTTTAAAGTGCTGCCAGCGTCTTTAATGCAATACTGCAAAAGAACACAAATCTCATGCTCTACTGGGAATCAAAATCAGCCATACAACTGAGCAGGAGCTGGTCTGAGATCTCTTCACTCTTCTCTTCAAAATCGTCTAGACTCTCCAAATAGTCCTGATCATCCCGTTCATCTCCCCACACATCAGATTTCTCCTCCTCTGTGTGAGTTGTGCTCTGTGGGCCCATGGGTTTATGTTCCTGGCTGCTTTCAATGTTGCCAGCATCGTCCATGAGGTACACCTGGTCCTCCTCATCCTGTAAGAAACAGAAGACGTGATTACCGACTGATGCATGTTAAAGCTAAAACACTGTTAAAATAAATTAACTAACCAGCGTCAAGACGTAGCTGATACAGATCTCTTGTGGCAGTGGGTAACCTGTAACAGGGACATGATGTTACCTCACAGTCAGATCATGTTTCCTTGAATTATTTCAACTACAAGTCAGTATGGCAGCTCTTTCGGATCGTGACATACTCGAGGACCTGAAGTTCCTGCATTCAGGATCGTGGCACTTCTGGTACCACACATCCTCTTTCAGATCCACAACGATCCTGCAGAGGGTGACAGAGCCAAATCAGAAAGCGTAAGAACACTCGACCATCTTCAGAAGATGAAGGAAACAAACTGCACTCACATGATGTTGTTGCTTTTGTGAAACCGCCCCACGTTTTCACACCAGCGGTATTTGGCGATGTCATAAACGAGAAGTTGCTCTGCGGCAAAGTAGTTCCATCGTCTTAAGCCTGTCAAAATTTATGAGATCATAAACGTCAGGTAGGACGATCGATGTGAACTGCCACACTTTTCTTTTCAGGAAGAAAAAAAAAACGGTAATATCTAAATGTTTCACTCGGCTGGATGTCACGTCAGAAAACCACAATTTTAGGGCAGATGAACTCTACAGACTGAAATGTTTCACGAGCAAATGTTTTCACTGCATAATACTTACTTCCTTGTATCCCATCCTTTCTAACCACCGTTAATACAAAGTTGTCCACTTCTTGGTGAGGGGATGACAGGAAGCCAGAAAGTGCACCTGTTGGTAATATATGGGAAAAAGTTTCACGAATCAAATCATTTCACACTGAGGTTTTTGAGGTGAAACCAACAATAACATTTATGCCATAAACTGACTACATGCAGGAATACTTCACATATGTATATGCAGAAGATTAAGAAAAACTCTGGTCTCGGTTCAGCATTACCTGAGTCTGAATCCGACCCTTGTTGGGACTTAGATGGGGAGACTTTGGGCTCACTTGATTCTGGGACATCCCATGTAAGAATCCTCTGACCTGTGAAGCTGATACACGGGAGGAGAGATTATGTGTGGCCCTTTTTAAAAAAAGATCACAGCACACAGGAATCTGAGCTGTTTGTGCCCAATGTACCTCACGTTACACACTAAGGAGGCCAAGAAAATGCTTTCCTCCAAAGAAGTTCCCTTCTCAGGTTTGGCAATACACTGGTTATCTTCTGCCACAGTGAACGCAGCATTCTTCCCCGCTTTAGACGACTTGTACAGGCGGAAATTTCTGTTCTTTGTATAGACACCTATGTGTTGAAATAAAAAGCCACGGTACGTGAAGGGAAATTGTGTAAATGCATATCTTTACACATAAAAAAAGGACATAATTTTTAAAAATCTGATTTCCCTCACCAAGATCCACAAAGAGAGAGTCTCGACCATCTTTGCTTTTCACCTGGAGGAAGCTGAGGTCTCTCCCTTCCTCTTTACACCTCTTCATCTCTGGACTTGCTGCTTGAGTTCTACTCAGGGCGAATAAGTGCAAAATTTTAACCTTAAACACTGAGCACATAGAAATAAAAACATGCAGTTTTTACAGGTCTGAGAGAACAAACCGTGTTTCCACTCCATTATCAAGGTGGCTTCCATTTTTGGGTTTGTTCAGGACAGGCTGAAGAATTGCATGAATGAACCTCCCTACAAAATCCCAATCAGATGGAATATATGACTATTAAGCAGGTATTAACAGGCTGATGTTTTCCATGTAGGGCTGAACATACCAACATGAATGTTGTCTTTGAAAGCTGCCTGTTGAAGACAGAAGATGAGATGTCTGCTGAATTTCTCCTCAGTGCTGGAGTCCAGATTGAGGACATTTTTCGCAGAGCATTCAATCCCATAAACTTCCAATAACTTGTCACAGACGTACTGTCACCACACAAAGCAGAGAGGGGTAAACATATCAAATGTTTAGACAAGAACTTTTACTATTTCATGGAAAACATGAGCTCAGTTTGAATTAGATGGATGCTGAATGATGCTAAATCACATACTGCATCTATTAAAGCAGCATGGCTTCATAGTAGAAGAGTCTAGGTGCAGTCCAGACCTTTTTCAATGGGACAAAATTTATCTCCCAGAAGTCCAGCAGCTAGTCTTTTCAGTTCCCAGGCATTTGCAGACTGTTGTTTAAAAAAAGACGGGATGCCTTGCCCCACTTTTTTAAGACATGTTGCCATCAAATACAAAATGAGCTATTATTTTTCTTAAAATTATACATTTTCTTAGTTTAGGCACTTCATAGTTTTTCTGTGCTTAACTGTGAATAAAATGTGGGTCAAAGAGATTTGCAAATCTTTGCATTCTGTTTTTATTCACATTATACGCAGGGCCCCACCTTTTGTGGACTTTGTGCTGTATAAATGTTTCTCACTAGTCAGACGTCAGGGTCCAGAAGCAAGTTATAACCATTTCTTTTCACAGGTTCATTTTCATTATTACATTTCATTATTAGCGGTAAAATAAACTACTACTTCAAGAATTTCA